CGTGACAGACGTATCCGATTGCAGATTTCTGCATAATGAACAAAGTTAAACGCAACATACTAATGTGCTAAATTCAGGTCTCCTTAGGTAAATAACTAACTGTATAGAAAGGAGAGAAGTTAAACTGTAATTTGCTAAACCTGAACTTTCCATCCTGCATGCTGTAAAGCATAGAATTCACTGCTAAGTGAATTCCCAGTCCTAAATATTGATGTGTTTAATCTATTCAGCGTATTTTGGTTTTCTATTGTTGCTGCTACTATGAATGTATTTCACACATTTGCCCTGTGTCTCTCTCTTCCCTGTGATATTATGTATCAGATATTGGGACTGCTCTGAGGAGGAATACTGAGAATCCATCTACCACAAAGTAAATACCTTGTCCATGGAAAAGATTGGCATGGCCAGTTTTGTAAAGAAGTGTTGAAAACTTCAGCACAACAGCTAATAAAGCTGACTTTATATTCAGGGTACTTGTGTTAAAGGGTATGTTTGTTTGCAGGAAAGAATCAATACGTTTACTTTGACTTTCCCTATACATGCTAGTACAGTGTACTATTAGATCCAAAAATATTTTTCAAGACTTCTAAATTAATACTACCTTGCCAGATGAAATGTATGTTTGTATGGATCTAGAGGAGTTGTAGCTGGAAAGAAGAAATCTTGGTTTCCTCATTAGATGGTGGAACAGTTCTTATAGGTCTGCTTTTTATACCAATTTTTGCTGGCTATATCTATATCAAACAGTGAAAATTTATTGTATTTATTTTAAAATACATGTAAACATCTCAGGAATGGATTTCCTTTAAGCTTAAATTAATTTTATTTAATTAAACTTTACTGCACTGGGTTTTTTTAAGGTCACCATGTTTCAAGTTTCAGGATCTAAAATCCCCACTATATCAAATTTTTTTCGGACATTCTGTCCTCAAGAATGCTTGAAAAAAAAACCCATTTTTTTTTCTATTACTAGAAGATAGTACAAATAGAAAGAGCACAGAAAATTGACAGAATTCAATTTGCTTTTGATTGTGTAATGCATTTGTCATTATTTTATTAACTCTGATATTACACAAGAAATATCAGTAATCCAATTGTGTCTCAAGTTTAGCTCCCTTAATGGGTTTCTTGACAAGTATGAGCTCATACCGTCAACTTATATTCACTCTTCCTATGCAGTTACTCTCAGTATTATGTGGATTAGATACTGCAATGGCTCATTGCTCTTGCTCTCCCAGAGAGCACTTCAATGGATTTCTATTTTCTACTTAATAAATGTGCTGTAGACTTCTGGTAGGAGTCCTAGAAATGACTTCTACTTTTGGAGAGGTCCAGAGGCATGTCAAACAAACCTCATCACATTTCTGCCCAATTTCAGTGTAAGGGAGAAACCCAAAGAAGTTCCATGCTAGTACAATGGATCTAACAATGTGGTTTTGAGAGTGGGCTGATTGCTCTGAAAAATCAAATTCAAGAATCTAAATGAACAGCACTTAACATCTTGATGTCTAGCACTTTATTTCTTTATTGGATGTTTTTATCCAATACCAGGTCCATGTGGTTCCAAATACTTTTTCTGCAAATAATACTAAATCATGCTGACTCTTCACAATTAAGGGGATGTGCAGGTTTCTCTCACTACATTTCCTGTCTTTACTTCCACACTCCTGGAATGGAGCTGAAAGTTAATATTTTATGTAGGTATGTGTTTCTGCTCATTTTGACTGCCAGAAGGCAACCAAAAAAGAATATCTTGTACTTTTATTGAAGAATCTGGAATAACTGGGATATGCTGCTCCACAGCCTATTAGCTCTCCCTCCTTCCTCAAAACATTAGATATTACACCCATATTAGAGTTCAATGGCAGTAACTTCTTTGTTGGCTCTTCTGTCAGTCAGGTTTCTTTTCATGAAGAAATTTTCTTCCTTAATAAAGGACTGTGGATTTTAAGTGAAACACAATACAGTAGGCTTCTTAAAACTTCAAGGAATTTCATTTGCTATTGTTTTGATATCTTTACCTCTGTCACCTAAAGGGTATTGTTCTTTCACAAAAAACACAGACTTTAATTTTTTCCTTTTTTTTTTTCAGCCAGTAATGTACCACCTAATATCTCATTCTCTTTCCAGTAATGGTCTGATAGAAAAGGACAATTTTCTTTTGAGATAAAATTTTCTCTAAACAACCATTTTTTCCTTAAATTTGTGAACTCAGAGTCTATTGCTTTTTAGATGATCTTTTCCAGTTCTTTCTTCCACGTACAATTGGAATCAGAAGTACTAATATACTAAGCAGATATTGAGTAGGGGATTAACTTAATGTCATTTTGAAGAATTCAATCTTTCTGTCCACCTAAATTTTGTTTTGGGAGTGAAAATTATCTTATTTAGGAGCTGAAAAGATTATGAAATTTTGATTAATAACAGCACACAACAGCAAATTCTGTACAGTGAGTGTTCACAACAGCACTTGTAATAATTAGTTGCAAAAAATCTTGCTATATACTATCATGTGTATTCATAGCAACAGTTTCTTGAACATTATACCTCAAGGAAGGGACCTGTGCATTTACATAGTGCATTTACAACAAAATCTGGATTATGACTGTGGAGTCAAAAACTATCACATTATAAGTAACAGATAGATAGGTTTTTGCTTTACATATTTGTGGATAATTTGCAAGTGGAAGAAATGGCTGACCCTTTTGACTCAGTCTGAAGTGTGCAGTCTACTAGTAATATAAATAGGACAAAGTTTATTGGTGTGACGTTCAAGATAATCTATGGACTAATATGATTTTTCTCTCTAAGCTGAGAACCACTGGAAACGACAGATGAGGAGAAAGCCCTAGCTATATTATGCAGTAACACAGTGACTCGGTATTATGATAAAGGAGAGAGCAACCTCAACTCAAGGAAATTTCGAATGATGTCCCTGTAAGAGAGAGGTTTTTGTACAAGACCTTGCTGGAACTTCCTTCATAATGATGAGAAATTGAAAAGGAGTGATAAAGAGGTATATGAATAACACAGGCAACAGGAAATTTTTGCTTCTTTGGAGAAATTAAACCTCATAAAGTGTCTATAAAAATTATAAATAATAGAATAATGTGATGGGAAAATTAAGAATTCTCCTAGAATAATGACAAAGGGGGCAAACTGAATAAATTCAGACTGGAATGAAGCTGATATGAATCTCTGAAAAAAAAATCGTGTATTGAAATAGTGAGGAGGAAATGTTTGTTTTAAAGATTATGCTGACAACATTAAAAGCATTATTGCATAATAAAAATTACAGCCTACAGTCATCCTTTACCATTTTACTTTTATGTTGGTAGGTGCATATGTGTTAACCTACAAACTTCAGAAAACAGTTACTTGGCTGTAATTTATTAAGCTTTACAGTTGTTTGGGTTTAGTTTTGGTTTTCCTGGCACTCACCTTGCCATGAAGAGAAATAGCATATATTATGAATTCATTGCTATTTTTAAAATTTCCACATTGACCGAAAGTTATTTCTAAAGGCAATGCAACCTCATCTACACTGGGTTATAAAGATCTGCTGTAATGAACAAGAGCAGCACAAGACTTTTGACTTTATTATGTCATGGGTTTATTCATTTAAGGCAGGAGAAGTGATTTTAAATTGTTTGAACAAGGTCCAATGCTGAGTATCTTTATGTCAGCTGTTATAAATTACACTAATGACAGAACTGACAGTTTCTCAAATACGTTTTTTTCTTTTGGGATGAAGTATTTTATTGTAATTGGGAGCTACTTGTTTTTTGTGCACTTGATGCCACTGATTTTCTGTTGCCAGCTCTTGTTAGAAGAATGTCTGTGCATAGAAACTGAATAGATTTGAATATACTATATGGCACTGGACCCAAGGCTGAAATTGAACCTTATGTCATCTTGTGGAACTCTTGTCATAGAATCATTGAATGGCTTGGGTTGGAAGGGACCTTAAATATCACGTATTTTTTCTGGGTTTTGTTTTTGGTTTTGTTTTTTTGTTTGTTTGGTTTTGGTTTTGTTTTCTTTTATTACAGAATCATGTATTATGAGTTCTAATGTGGTCATCTTAAACAAGAAAAAACATTAATAAAAGGCAGTGAACATTTTTTTTTATTATTTCAAATACTCAGTTGTGTAGAGAGGTCCTGAGTGCTTGTGTGCCCTTAAAAGATTTTCCACATATGTATTCCTATGAAAGTGCTTGCATCTTTTCAAAATCAGGGATCTAGGCAATTTTCTCAGGTCAAAACATATCATGCACCTAATTTAAAACCTAAAATTGAGCTGCAGTTCCCACCTTGATCTTGCAATAGCTTTGGTGCAGACCCAATCAAAGAACTAGTGAAATTATTAGGAGTCTTTCTTCTTTCTTTGATAGGGCTTGGATTAAACTGCTGATGTTTACAAGTACCTATTATTCTGCAGTGTTCCCATAAACCTTTGTTTCAAATCAACCAAAAATCACACTGCCACATCAGAAACTTGATAAAAATTCTTTAGATACACAACTTCTTTTGGATATATATTGCTTATGTCTGACCAGATCCATTTCTATTAATACTAACAAAATTTAAAGGGAAAAGAAAATGAGTAGAGGGAAAAATATTTGTTAAAAAATGATCAGTCAAGGGATGCTGAACTTGCCCAGGTGTTCAGAAAGTCCTTCTTTATATATGGCTACAGTCTGATGAGAAGATATTTTGAATCTTGGAGATATAAAACAATGAATATAAGAAAAGAATTTGGGGTGTTCCTCTTAAGAAATTTTTTTTACATCTCTGATCCTAACTTTATGATGACTATGCCAACAATATTATACTTATATTTTTACTGGTAAAAATATGAATATTTTATATTCTTCCTTTTTTTTTCTTTACTCCGTGTCTTGTATGACCTTCCTACGATCCAGGAGTCTTTCTGAGGTAAGTAGGAAGCCAAATTTCAAAGTTGAGTGAAGATGAGGAAGAGATTAATTGCTTAAGTTATTGCTTGTATGAAACTTACTGTATTCAAAACCTCACAGTTTTAATTTTAGCATAAAAGTAGACTTCCAGCAAATTCGATCTTCTGTTTTAGAGTATGATATATGTATTTGAAATCCACATCTCAGTTGTCTCAGCTACCTGAAAGACTGTGTCACAGTGTTAAGGGAACTAGGTACATGATTCAATGATATTGAAGCTCAATTTTTTTTTTATAGATTGTCTTAAATCTCACCTGAACATGTTTTTTAGGGTAAACGAGACAAGTATTTTATTTGATAACAGGTACAACACAACACCATCGGTTACATACTCTACATAGATCCAACACCTAAGAAAGAATGTTGTTTAAAAAATACTGTATGAACTGTATATACTGTATAAACTGGATATAAAATCAGGATTTCCCACTATCCACTTGTGCAGTGAACACTGGTTGAAAGTTGTGACATAGTTGCACTAGAAGCTGTGAAAAGATGTGAGGGTAAAGGAATGTGAAGCTAATCAGGACAGGGTATTAACTGTGTAAAAATGAAGACTCTTTTCTACTCCACAGTCCTTCTTTATGACCTAGAAGAGATTTGATCCTTGCCAAGTCTGAAATATGTAGCCGTTAAGGGAGGCAGGATACCTGTCTCAGCATGTTTATCTGCATGTCTCTATACACGCTGTACATATTCCCTGTGTATTATTTGAATAGAAATGACTATCAGTGAATAAAAAGACTGCTATTTTGAAGTAAAGAACCCTGGAAAACCTTGAATCCTACATGTCCTACATGTAGCTTTCAGTTAAGTGAAATATATTAGGAAAGAATTGAAACTAAAAATCTCTTTACCCTTTTTCCGTAAAAGAAAAAAGAAAATCCAAAACAAAAAGCCCAAACTTGTATTATAGAGATTTATCAGGAAATTGAGTTTTCAGATAAGAATAAAAAGACTGTTGACAGTCAAATGTCAAAATGCAGAAAATTTTGACAGTCAAATGTCAAAGCTGTTTGATGTTCTAAGCTGTTTAATGTTCCCAGGAACTAAAAGTCAATTACCAAAATATCTTTTGCACACTGACACATCCAAATGTAAGCAGAACAGAAGGAGACCTGCAAATTCTCAATCCAATGATTGAGAGTGGTGGTCCAATAACAAATGCGGTTTCTGAGAGAGAATTCTGTACCTTTTACAATGCATCATTTAATTAAGGAATGTCCCAAGCATTGCCTCCATAGCCATGTTAAAGCAGAGCAAACAAGTCACAGACTAAATAAATAAATAAATAAATAAATTAGGTTTTCAAAATCATATTGCTTCGTGTCTTAATTTGTCTCAATTTTTTTTCATGCTCTACCACTCTTTTTATTGAAAAAAATTACCTGCCTTTGGTTCTGAGACCCAACCATGACTTGAGTTGAAAGTCCAGAAGACTGTAGATTAAGTGAATTAAGACTTTAAAATGCTGACAAATACTATAACTTCATATGAACTAGGAATTCTGACTTTAGTTCAGACAAAGACAACAAATATCACGTTAATTAAACTATTGTGTGGTCTTCTTCTTGCTGAAGGCACTTTGCTGGATTCTTTGGGGCAGTCTTTTCCCAGTAATGTAAAAAATAATTTCAGAATCTATTTCTTTCATCATATTGTTCTCAATTCTCCAGAAATTAATTTTTGCTCTTGCTCAAAGTATTTTTTCTTAATATTAGCATTAGACAAGGTTGTATTTTATCTTCTCTTTCATTTGTTCTGCCTCCTGAACACATCTTTTTTTCAGAGACTCACGGACAGCATGATCAGTTATAATAAGAATTCTTTAGTCTTCTTTTTTACCTTTTTTTAATAGGTGAACATTTCACTTAAATTATTAGCATATTAATCAACTTTCAATAAATCTGAGACGTAGAAGAAGCCTACAGCAGGGCAGGCATGCTGCTCAGTATATGCTGGCTATGGAAAGGTGGTAGAGAGTCCCTGGATATTTTTCAGTCAAAAATATTTTTGCACAAGAAGGTTCTCAAATGACAACTGGTAAAAGATGAGGTGGGTCCTCTTGTATCCTACAAGCAACAAGGGAAAGAAAACAAAAAGGAAAAGACACTTCTAAGGTGTACCTCCCTGGAAACCACAGCCACCTTACATAGGTAAGCACTCACCTGGAATTTATGTACAATGATTCTCAAAATTGTGGAGCTGCAGATGTCTCTTCTCAGCTCGCTCAGATCTGCTTCTGGATAGATTTGCACGTGAAGATGAGCAGTACTTTTAGGGACACAACCAACCATCAAAACCTTTTCAATAATTTCTTCTTGTAATAATTGCTGCAGGAATTCACATATCTGTGGAATGTAAATCTCAGTCAGTTTATTCAAAAGACAATTTCTAAATCTAACCACTGTTTTTTATTTTTATACGAAGACTTTCCAAATGCATGTTTCATGTTGTACTTCCAGTAACTATTTCAAAATTGCTCATGAAAAGAACTTGGACAAACCACGTACAAACCTTGTGTTAGGAAGCTGACCAGCAGTTTGTTTCAGCACCAAAGACAGAGAAGAAAACTGTGCATTAAACTACACATCCACAAATCCAGTAATTGGGCAGTTGCAACTTGAAATGCTTAGAACCAGCTGTATTTTACAGAAACTTGAACAACCCCACATGCTAAGACACTGTAGCAACATATTGTCTCTCTGTAGTTCTTTGCAGGCTGATTTATGGTCAGGAAATTTTGCTTCCTCTAGAGATCAGAGTACATCCTTTCTGAGGGTTTGTTGTTCAAAAAAAATGTGGGAAGGAAGAGAAAGCAATCAGGTACTTTGGCACCCTGCCAGAGTTTCTGCTGCCTTCCCACATGGGGGGGCTACCTGTCTTTCCTCATGGTCTCAAGATGTTATCTTTAAAAGATGAGATACCAAAGGCCTATTGACCAGAGACACATTTTCCAGGGCACACTTCTTACCTCTTAACAGGTCAGAATTAATTTTAGATTTTTTGTATGAATTTATCTGCAAGTGAGACATTTCCTAGACAGTTGAAAAAAGAGTCCATCCACGGGGATGGAATTAATTGAAAGAAACACTCAGGCAGTGTACTTAATCCAAGTAGGTAATCTCTATAAATTCTTTAGTGAGAAAAAAATCATAGTAGTGTATTCCACATGCAATACTCTACTCCTGAGATCTTAAAATACATAAGGGTAACCAATAGGAAACGGCACAGAAATAATCCTTTGGATAAAATGCAGGACTTTCTGCTGCATAGATTTTGCTTTTTTTTTCTCTTGTTGAACTAAGTGAATTAAAAATGACATTGAAGATGCTCTAGATGTGATTATGGCTCACCTTCTTTCAGACATTGTTTATACAACTACCATTACATACATTAATTTGGAGAAACTAATTTGCAATTTCTTACTTTCAGGATGACTTGCAGATTCAGTTATTATTGCTGTACGATACTTTCCATGAATCCATAGGAGAAAGAGTTCTATTACAGGAGATAGCAGGACTTGTTGATAGAGTTTTAAACTAGCTTGGAAGGGGCAAAGAGACAAACCCAGGCTCATCAGTGATGAGCAATTGGGTGGTGTGCCAGAGCTTGAACAAACAAGCACTAATGGGCTTCCTCAATCTGCCTCACAAGGTATTTGCTACAGTACCACCTGTGGTGGTTTGGGCTA